GAAGTTTTCTCCAAAAAAAAACCTCCCAAGAATTTGATTTTTCCTACTTGCAACCAACAAGGAGGAGGGTTTGTAGATGGGAGGTCCCGTAGGTACCCCAAAACGGGACTGGGGAAGATTTCGGTCCTGGCTGGAATATTTATTTAGGTGAGTCATTCTCAACCCGGGCAATTTTAAGTTGGCTGGACTTCAACCCCCAGAATTCCCCACTCGCCTATTCCAGCTTCCTTCCAGCACTGATTTGGGGGGGCGACGTTTATAAAAATTGGCTAAAAATGTCTGCCTCACTTTGGCCGTGTCACAAGTGCAGACAGGATCTTTTACAATCTTTTCACGCAATTGCGTCGTCAGACAACCTCTCCCTAACCAGGTGCCCTCCAGATGACATAGGAGGCTCAAGGCAGAACTCCCAAACTTTTATGCTGCTGAATTTGGGGATTTGTGGTCTCAACAAATCCCTCTTTTAACCCACCGAGCAATGAAAACATCCACAAATGGGAGGCAGGGGGGGCAAAGACTTTAGAGGAGCTTCCCACAGGTCAGTCTGATATTGTTTGATCCAATCCTTAAGGCTTATCTCTAATCTCTAACTATTACCTGCCTGCTATTAAAAAATATACAGGTGATCCTCGAGTTATGACTGGCTGCTTAACGACTGTTCAAAGTTATGACAGACGTATCTGGGAGGGGGGGGGGGTACTTAAAACCTGGATGCCAAGTTGCAAGGGTTGCACCTGCCTCTGCTGTCATGTGTCTGATTAACGACACATGACGGTGTTTAAGTGTTTCGTTAAATCAGACACACGACATCTGCATTTCAAGCCCTCAGCAACTGGACACTCGTACAGTTTTTTGGGATAATGAGTCGCGAGACCCATTCGCACTTACTTTAATCCCAGCTTCTTCTCAATAAGTTCTTTGAATTTGTACGCACCACCTCCTGTGGCTTTGATCACTTTCGTTTCGGTGTTGACGAGGTGGTCCTTGATGAAATCCAAGCAGGTTTCGATGTAGGTGTTCTCGAATTTAATGAAATGGAGCCGAGCCGTGATCTCCTCCTGGACGGTGACCTCGTAGGGAGATTCGTGTTCGACATCCTTCGGGATCAAGGACAAGAGAGATTCAAAACTTCCTCACCCCGAAGTTCTTGGGCGGGGAAGGAGGGAAGCCATGCGCCTCTAAAAGGGAGCTTCTCAACCCCAAGCGACTTTAAAACCTGTGGACTTCAACTCCCAGAATGCCCCAGCCAGCTGGCCCGGGTCTGATTGGTTCCTTTACTTGGGATCAAGTCTGGAACTCAGAGAGTGTGGCTACGTGGACAGCCAGTCCTCCAGTTAAAACAATTCGTTTAGAAACGGGAAACCGCTGTCTTACCTTGCACGATTGATCGAAGGACTGCACCCTGGCCACTTTGTGTTGCACTGTGGAGTAGTAAGCCAACTTGGCCAACGATCCCCCTGTCGGCAAAACAAACCGTGATTGAGAACAAGCCAATCTGGGGGGGGGGCACGATGTATAGGACTTACTTCCCTGCGAAACCCAAACGATTTGGACCACGTGAGCGGGCGCGTTTCGCTCCAAATGTCTCGGCTGAAAAACTCAAAAAGAATTGCAATTCTAAGGCTTAAGGATTTGAGTTCACCCAGGAGAAATTTGGTTATCACCACCATTTGGGAGCACACACCCCCTACTGATCTTAAAAAACAAGGGTGGGTTTATGCAGCCCCCCCGCAAGGGTCAAACTTGATTCACGTGAATGAAGATTATATTCTGTAACCAGCCCGCGGGACCCAGAAGAAGGGCCTTCTCCGTGGTGGCTCCTTCCCTCTGGAACACCATCCCTCCGGAAATTAGAATGGCCCCCACTCTTTTGGAAGGCCCTGAAGACCTGGTTCTGCCAGCGAACCCGGGATAGTCAGAGCAAGATGGGTTAAAAGATGGGGTGGGGAGTTATTATTTCATTGTTTTTATTTCTTTGATACTGCATTTTTATTTCCTGTAAGCTGCCTTGAATCACTGAGAGAGGGAAGAGAGAAGAGGAAGGAGGGGAGAGAGGGAGGGAGAGAAGGAAGGAGAGAGAAATATACACCAAATTTTAACCACTACCCAGAACTGCCTCAATTAGCAGGCCTGTGCAATGCAACTCCCAAATGCAAAGACATGGTGTGTGTGTGTGTGTGTGTGTGTGTGTGTGTGTGTTTTCTCAAGAGGATAACAGGCTCAAACCGCTATCACACACAGACCACCTTCTTGTGTAATGCAAAACCAGACATCACGAGTCTTGTCCCTGGGGAGGTTTCAAGAACTGGGGTAAATGGTGAATACAAGTATCTATTTATGCCTATCTATAAAGGCCAATTCAAAAAATGATTCTTCTCCCCTCCACCAATTTTCCATTTTTCCCTTTCATTTTGCTTTCTTGTCGCTAAGCAGAAAAAACATTCCTTCCCTACAACTTCACAATTTCTGGAATTTTTCTCTCTACAGCTCAGTGTATAATCAAACACTGGGGCATCTTCCGGATGGGTGGACTCCAATTCCCAGAATTCTTAGCAACAGCGTTGCTGACTGGGGAGATTCCTCCTTAGTTCTTCTCTTTGAGAAGTTCTCATCCGTTACTTCTGGGAGTTGAAGTCCACCCATCGGTAAGTCACTGAGATTGTGACGGGCGTCTCTCTCTCTCTCTCTTTTCTCTTAATTGCATTAGCCCCCTTCTTCAACAATCAAGCAAAATACAGCTAGTCCTTGACTTACAACGGGGTCGCAAAAGGGGGTCAAATGACTCGGGATACCGCAACGGTCATAAACATGAGTCAGTTGCCAAGTATCTGAATTTTGATCTTCTGATCATGAGGACGGTCATGGTCGTGTGAAAAACGGCCATAAGGCACTTTTTTCAGTGTGGTTGTAAATAATAATAATAAAGTTGGAAGGGACCTTGGATGTCATCGAGTCCAACCCCCTGCTCAGGCAGGAAACCCTAACGTACGGTTGCAAGTCGAGGGTCACCTGTATAGCAAATAAGGGGATGAAACCATAATGGCTGGAGGCATGCTACAGAGTTAAGCCAGGAACCATCGTATTTCTGGTTTGGAGCAGAAAAGCTAAACGTCAAAACAACGTTGGCCTTATCCTGCTGTGCCCTTAACGTTCCTGCCTCCTTATCACCAGGTGCCAGCCACGCCAAACTCAAGGGAATATTTGCCCATCTCAAAATGCCGACAGCAAAAGCGCAACGCCCGTCCCCTGGGACCTTTTCCCCATCCTGCAATTCTGTGCCAGAAATGCAGAGATGTTTTGTTGACAGCCAGCAAAAGAGACCAGGAAAACATCAGCCTCGCTCACCGGAAGCTTCTCCTGAATTCTGCACATTTATACGCCACCTTTTCTGGCTAAACGGTAGGGTTAAAGCCATCTTAATGATCTCCCAGTTCGGTGAATAAAAATACATAAATCAGCTTGGAAAGGGGAGGCATGTCTTGAAAAACAGTCAAGTAGGGAAAGAGGCCTCTGAGCTCAATTTTATTCAGCCGGCCAACTTTGTGGGTTATTTACTCGATGCTGGGTTTCATCCAGGTAGGGGAACTGTTACGCTCAATCGAAAAACGAGCAGATGTTAAAATAAAAAGCTAAAAATGTTGCACTAATCCCCGTGATGCTGGTCTGAAACTAAAAAGCCCACAAGATTTGGCAGGCTTGATCATATACAAAGCTGGGGCTGATTCACGGCTTGGGACTGAATAAATCACAATTGGATGGATTCACCAAACAGTCAAACCATGGCTTGCAAACCATCGCAAGCACATTAAGCAAAATCGAAAGGCATCATATTAAGGCTTTGTGTTCCCAGCTACGCAACCGTCCCACATGTCTATGAAGATGTTCAGTCATCCAGATCATAGCTGTCCCAAAGGTGCTTTTTTCACGAGACAACTTGTTTTTCTTTGAAGATTTCCACTTCTCACCCAAGAAGCTTTTTCAGCTTCTTCCCAAACACAGCAAAAGGCGAGACCCAATTTATTTTTTTTTACTAGTGACAAATCCTGGTAATTTAGGAAGAGAACGGAATTCTGAAAATAAACACTGCTTTTTATTTATTAAGGTTTGTAGCTACATCTTCGATCCCACTTTAATTTGGGAAGAAGTATTTTTTGCCCATCAATGCAAATTTTTTTTAAAAGCACAGGGTGTGTTTCTAAAACGAGTAACAAAATGCTACTCGTTGATGTTTATTTACTATTTGTGGCCAGGGATGAATTGCAGATTATCTTAGAGCAAAAATGAAAAACAAAAGACATTTGAAAAAAACAACATAGTTATTTCCTTCCTGGCTTCAAAGAGAGACTCATAAGCTAATATATGGCCTGTATCTGGAGCCATGTTTCTTCCAAACCTCTGGGGATTATTATTTTGGGAAGGGGGGAATATTTTATCAGGGGTTTTTTTNGATATATTTTCCTTGACAGGCCAGGGGGGTTTTATATAGGATTTGGGTTCATTGGGGTGTCTATTCTCCCCCCCCCAAAAAAGAGGGGGGTCCTGAGGGGTTTGAAGGAAGACAAAACTGGCTGGGGGGGGGAACTAAAGGGGGGGCAGAGGAAACAGCCCCCTTTTTCCTTCTCCCCATCGAAAAGGAGGGGGCAATTTAAACCCCTTGCGAATAAGGAGACATTTTTCCATTCCCCCCCCCTGAAAAAAAGAAAGGAGCCATATTTCCTCCCCCCACAAGGCAACTAAGGGGTCATTTCCCCCCCTACAAAAAAAAGCACTCCCAAAACACACATTTTCCCTCTCTGCAAAACGGGGGGGGGGAATAGCTGGTGTCCTCCCCCCCAATAAAAGGAAGGCCCGTCAGATCCCTCACCCCAAAAAACACCCGGGGTTTGTTTATACCGTCTCCCTGTTGCCCCCCCCAACTCTGAAATCCAGAGGGACGCCGGTCTTTGTAGTCTTCTCGCCAGCGCTACAGGCTGAGGCGGGCGAGCGCGGAAACTGCCGCTCCCATCGGGCGCTGCGCCGCCCGGCCGAGCGCAAGGCACGCCGGGAGTTGCCGTCCGGCGTCGCCCTCCGCGCCGCTCATCCCTATGAGGCGCCGGACTGCAAGTCCCGGCGTGCCCCGCGCGGCGCCTCAGTTCTTTCTCCCCCTTCGCTTCTCTCGCCGCCTCTCCGAGAGGGAAAGAGGGAGAAGGGCGAACGGCGGGCGGGATGGAGCCGGGGAGAAAGCGCCGGCCGCTCGGGCTTACCGATGTCGATGGCGAAGCGCTTGGCGTTCTCCAGGTTGCGGAAGATCTCGTCCGGCGGCAAGGTGATGCTCTTGTCCAGCCGGCCGCCTCCGCCTCGCCCGGCCCGCTCCGCCATTTTGGACGCATCGACCCGCTCGCTGCTGCGCGGCCGGCCTCATTAGACATGCAAATTTATGTGCATACGTTTTGCATGTTAATATCAAAGGGGGGGAAAAGGAGTCGGAGATGCCAGCCCTGCCCTGAAGAGGGTGGGACGCCGAGTGGCTCCGCCCAGGACAGCCTGAAGGTCCGCCCACCTGCTTTTAGCTTTAAAAATAAAGCCCGGAGGGAGACCTCATTGTGGACTAGAGGCTTATTTTTTTTCCCCAATCAAAATTTATGGGAGTCTTATCTATTTTAATAACATTCCTGATTTTTTGTACGGCTCTCCTCATCCAATAGTAAGAATTGGGGGTTTTAGATGACAAATTGAAACGTCCCCTTTGAACCTCGATGAGGTCCTGCAGCTTGGAGCAAATCAGATCGTGCAAGGAGGCTGGATGTCATTGGCCTGGGCACGTGACCAGTTGATTTTATTTTATTTTTCTCCTTGATTTCAATGAGCCTAGGCATAAAAACTCTTTTTAAGTGTTCCAAAACTTGTTCTACCAAAGCTGCATCTTTTCCACACAAGAAAGCAGAGCGTAATTGCAACATGGATCCACTTTAAGCATCTGAACCAGTTTGATTTGATTTCCAAACAAATAAAAAACAGCGGAAGTCACACATACCAAAAAGAGAGAGATTATCCTGAGGAACTCCCTGCCACCAGATATGGCAACAACCACACATTTAGAAAGAAAGTGGATGAATTCCAGAAGACTCTGACCAGCCACTAGTCTTGAAGACCATAAATGAAAGTGAATTTGGCTGCACCCTCATTTTTGTTGGCAGGAGAATAAAAGATTTAAATTAGAGGTCAAACTTAACAGACAGCAAACTCCAAGCTTTGTTTGTAAGCATGCCTTTGTATCTTAATTATATTTTACTTTTTATTCTTTTTTACACGTCTTTTATGGTTCCTATTCTTTTAAAAACACGTACTTTTAAAAATAAAAATAAAAAAAATTATTTTTAAGCATTTATGTTCGTCTAAGCTCTTCTTTCGGTATTCTCCCAGTTCGCTGAATTTCAGCTGGGATTTGAACCATGGGGAAAACTGTCAGAAATACAGAATGGAAATGGGCCTTTGCTGGGTGGCTGGCAGGCAGCAAATCTGAGAATGTAAGTTTGTCATTTTATATTTGGGTTATGTTTCCGTTTTTCCTTTTTTTACAAAAACAAATATTGCCACGCAATCTACAAACAGAAATCTTTCTGTAAACTGTAATGAAATTAATTTAATTAAAAAGAATATTGTCGTTTGCTCCTCTGAAACTTTATAGTAACCAAAAGATCAAGAGTTCCAAATTCATTCTAAAACTCCAGACTAACTTGGGAGTAAACATCACTGGACACAATAGTTGTTTTTGCAATACCCTAAGCCATGATGGCTTCAGTAATTTCTTCATTAAACCACAGTTGGCTAGATTCTCCACTCAGCTAAGGAAGTTAGAATCTCTCACCCATAACAACAGAATAACAGAGTTGGAAGGGACCTTGGAGGTCTTCTAGTCCAACCCCCTCTTTATCCTGTTCAGAATAAGGCACTCGGATGCACTGACGTGGCCGAAAAGCAGATTTTTATTTCTTTTTCTCCCCTTCCCCATCGCTGTGCAAACGCTTAAAATTGTGCCCCCTTGTAGCGGGGTACAAATTCCGACGCATGTTTACAATACATGAACAACAATTTTGTCCTGCAAGGACTATAAAACAAGTACATCTGTATAAACCACCCCCACCCCCAGCAAACAAACAAAAAAAAAAAGAGTGAGTGGAAATCACAATTTGTACATCCCCGCCCTTCAACTTTGCCCGAACAAAAACCAGCCCACGGGGCTGTTACCCTGGTTCCTATAAGGACACACAACTTAGCTTGGGGCCTTTATCAAAGGCCTTTGTTCAACTTGGTGAACAGAAGCGCTCCCGTTTCGAAAGCCAAACCGCTTCCAAGAATGTTCTTGGAATTATTAGCATTGCAATAAACGTGTCATCTTGGCAGATAAATGCAATGTACAAATCTCATAGAACGTCTAAAAAGCTTCCCTAAGCAGGAAGGAAGGAAGGAAGGAAGGAAGGAAGGAAGGAAGGAAGGAGGGAGGGAGGGAAGGAAGGAAGGAAGGAAGGAAGGAAGGAAGGAAGGAAGGAAGGAGATGGAGGGGAAGGAAGGGATATCTTAACATGGGACATTGTCCCTACTGCTTAGCGCAGTGTTTCTCAACCTTGCAACTTTAAGAGGGGTGGACTTCAACTCCCAGAATTCCCCAGCTGGCTGGGGGGATTCTGGGAGTTGAAGTCCGCCTCTCTGGAAGCTTCCAAGGATGAGAAGCACCGACTTAGAAGTCTGAGGATGGCGATGCATACAGCAAATCAAGCCCTCTGGATTATCGGGCAGGGGTCCGAGAAAATCCCGCCCAGTCCCAAACCGGCTTCTGGCCCCGATGATGTCTTTCTGAGTCGGTCCCTTTCGGGGGAAGCCGTGTTCTTGATCAGCGTTGTCGTAAGGCTGGGGAAAAGATTTAAGAGCCGGTCCAGCGGAGAGCTGGGATCTGCGCAGTCTTTGCCGAGAAGGTGCCATGGTCCTGGTTCAAGGTGGAATCTATTCTCCCTGTGAAAAAGTAAAAAGTAAAAAAAAAAAATAGAATTTAAAGAAGTGATTCTGGGACAGGTAACAAAGGACTTAGTTATTGAAAAAAGGTGTTTTCGCTCTGTCCTGATTCTTATCTCCTTGGGAAGGAAGGAAGGAAGGAAGGAAGGAAGGAAGGAAGGAAGGAAGGAAGGAAGGAAAGGAAGGAGATGGAAGGGGAGGGAGGAAAGGAAGGAGATAGAAAGGGAGGGAGGAAGGAAAGGGAGGGAGGGAGAGAGGAGACCAAAGGGAGGAGGGAGGAAGGAAAAACGAAGGGAAGGAAGGAAAAATGGAGGGAAGGAAGGAAGGAGATGAAAGGAGAGGGAGGAAAGGAAGGAAGGAGATGGAAAGAGAGGGAGGAAGGAAAGAAAGGGAGGAAGGAAGGAAGGAAGGAAGGAAGGAAGGAAGGAAGGAAGGAAGGAGAAATAATCAGCTGTCCACTCACCATGGCTGTATTTTGGGGACCTGATGATCAAGTCTCGGTTCTTCCCAAAGGGGTCTCTGCAGAAGTCATTCTTCATCCCTCTTTCACAGGCTGGCTTCTGCACCATCATGGCTTCGCTTCATCCATCCTGGCTACTTGCTACACCACAAACAAGCAGAGACAGACAATTAGACCCCCCTCTGTCTCTCTTCCCTTCCGACTCCACCTCATCCTGCTCTTAGCCAAACTTAGAAAGACTCCAGGTGGGAAAAAGGGAGAGAGAAAAAATTAAGATACTTACAGGCTTCTTTCCCTGCAGACGCCACGCGGCCTGCCCAAACCAGCATTCCAAGCCAATCTCTGGCTTGTAAGTGCGGTGGGGAAACGGAGAGCCTTCTCTTTATACCCCGGCGGTAGCATTCAAGAGCTTGGGTTCAGCCAGGCTTGGCGTTTCCCACACTCCTGTCCAATCCTCACCCTTCTGCTGGACAATAGCAAACTCGTCTATTATGGGATGGTAAATTAACTGTGAATCGCCGCGAGAGAATAGCCCGATCCCTGAGGAGCAGGTGGTCGGTTTGAATAACAAGAAGGGCTCCAAAGATTGGGGAAAACCCCCCCCCCAAAAAAACGTGGGAAATAGCTCAGGCTATTATTATGGGATTGTGGGAGCTTGGCGTTGGAAATGTCCTGGGAGTCAAGCGCTGCCTACACCCACCCACCCACCCATACACACACCCAAAAATTATATATATATATACATACATACATACATACATACATACATACATACGTACATACTGTACATACATACATACATATCACAGTCAAACAGCTGACATTTGAGCCACGGGCAAAATTCCTGGACCTCTTCCCTTGCTTTTCAAAAAGAAGGGGAAAATATATATATATATATATATATATATATATATATATATATATATATATATATATATATATATATATATATATATATATATATATATATATATCCGAAATTACTTTAAAAATGTGATCCCCGGGTATGTCCATGTTCAAAGTCAGTCAATAGACGTGAGCACCAGGGAATAAATAATTTAATAATAATAATTTAGAGATAAAAGTTCTTAAGAATATTAAAAACCTTTAAAGTACATAGAAATCAATAAAAGTGCCTAGCTTTCGTCGGCATCCGCTGACATCTTCAGGGCTTAGAATGCTGGTCAATGGGAAAGTCCCTTTATAGGTTTAATTAGGGCGTGTGCACGACTCTTCGATCTCGTCACTGGGCCGGTTATACTAGAATGTACTCCAAGCACCGAGTTCTTATTGGGAGTTGTCCTTTTATCTCTAAATTATTATTATTAAATTATTTATTCCCTGGTGCTCACGTCTATTGACTGACTTTGAACATATATATATATATATATATATATATATATATATATATATATATATATATATATATATATATATATATATATATATATATAT